TTATTACTTATTTTTAATAAACAACCATTACAATTTATAAACCATTCAAAAAAAACATAATTCATAGAGATTTGCCCGGTTTGTTATAAAATTGCGGTGATTATATAGCTGTAGTACAGTTTATAACAATTATTATCCGGACAAGAAGGTAATTGCAATTGCAAACGCGCCGCAGCATACATTGCACACGCTAGCGGAGATGATGCGGGCAGTTTTAACTTAAATGTCCCTTGTAGGTTATTCTGCAAAATAAAATCTCACTTCTGATTTCGGTAGCTGCTATTTTAGACATTAGTTTGATATAAATTACGCCATTACACGCTATTTCTGTGAAGCTATCGCTATTTCTGTGAAGCAGCCAGTATTAGATGGGTATATTTTATAAACAAAAAATATTTTTTATCAACTTTACTTGAAATTGCTGTATATATCAATAATTTAGATCATAATCTGCTGTAAAATGGTAATGGCTATTGGAAATCCTACACTTGAAGTTGTCGACCGTTACGTTTACCTGTGACAGACAGCCCAGATACGTAAGTCCAACTTTGAGAAAGAGATCTCTCGACGTATCCAGCTCGGATGGACAGCGTTTGGGAAGCTAGGGAATATTTTCGCGTCCATTTTTCCTGAGTGTCTTAATGCAAAAGTCTTCACAAGTGTGTGTTGCCAGTTTTGATCTAGAGAAGCGAAAAGTGGTCGTTTACTGCGGGTCTCATAAGAATGTTCAAGGTCATACAGCGGGCAATGGAGAGAGCGATTCTCGGTATTTCCCTACGCAATAGAATCATAAAAGGGGAAATTCGTAGAAGAACTAAAATAACCGATATCGCTCGAAGAATTGCTTTGCTGAAGTGGTAATAGACACACGACACGTAGCGAGGAGAACCGATGGCAGATGGGGCGGAAAGGTTCTTGAATGGCGACCACGCACCGAATGACGCTCAATGGAAAGCCCTGCTATCAGGAGGGCTGACGATTTTGAGAAGGTCGTGGAATGCCGCTAGATGTGAGTGGCGCAGGACCAATGGGTATGGAGATCCTTGGTGGAGTACTATGCTCAGCAGTGGGCGAAATACGGTTGATATGATGATGTACTTCGAAAAAAAAATTAGAATACGTAATTGTTCCTTATTTATCGGGTAAGGTCACTGATATTGTTTTAAATAGACGACCTCCGTGGTCGAGTGGTTCATACGCCGGGTTACATGGTGTCGCCGACTCGAGAGGTCCCGGGTTCGAATCCCGGTGGGGGCAGATGTTTGTGTGATGAATACGAGCATTTGTACTCCAGTCATGGATGTTTAATATGTATTTCTATATAAATATACTTATATATGTACAGTATATGTATTCTATCCATTACCCTAGCATCCCATAACACAAGCCTTACAGTGCTTACTTTGGGGCTAGGCTAATTGGTGTGAGTGTTGCAAATCTTTATTTATTATTATTATTATTTATTTAAATATGCAGATTAACGGACGCCTTAAGAGATGTAAACTATAACTTTTTCATTTCATTTTACGAATTCAAAGATTCAGGTTTTTCTATTAAGTAAATAACAATTAATTGGCGTTTCTAATTTGCTTTTGAAATTCACAAGTTATTACAGTGCCATATAAAATTAGTAGTTTACTCTCTCAAATTAATAAGCGTTTATTACGTAATTGCTCAATATTATGGAAGATTTGAAATAATATTTCGAATGGAATTCAGTTAAGAGGAAGTGATAAATCATATTATTGAATTGCTGATTATATTTGTGAAATCAGTGAAATCTCGACGTGGGAGCTGTTCTGATTTGATTAAATTTGATCTCAATTACTTCAACAAACGAATGGAATATAGGAACGTACGTAATATTCCCGAATATGAGTTAATTATTAGGAAGTTATTTACTGTGCGATATTGCAATCCATCCTTTGACTATAAACTGGATTAATAAAAAATGTCCTTTGCTATCGTAGACAACCAGAATTATCTCCTGTCAATTTATTGCTTAATAATTCATCGGTCCGTAAAATCAGATGCGTTATTGCAATAATGCATAATTAACTTCTATATGTCGTTATTATCGCAGCAGTGTGGAACTTCGTAGCCGTTCTAATACATAATGTACTAAAAACAGATATCGCAATAACGCATCCGATAATATCGACCGATAATAACGCACCTATGGGGGGGGGGAGGTCTTTATTATTCTCTTAATCGTACCATGATGAATGATTTTGCGGTAAGTTTTTTCATTAAAATTATTTCTGTTTTCAAGACCATTGACAAAAATATTTTTTATAACGCAATAAGCGATGCGACCAGTACTGTAAAACTTGATTCCAAAGTGAGATCGTACTCGAGACCGCTTTTATTGCATGAGTGGTGAAAAGGTCACCGAAGTAAATTGCCTCTCAAGATCTCTTGAGCGAAGGCCGCGAAAGAATGTAAGACCCTATTTTCTAAGAAAAATTTTGGGACAAGTACTGGCCATAGATAAGAGATAAGATAGGTGATACGAGTAGTTGGGTTTCTGATGATAAAAAAAGTCAACCATAATGACATTGAGATTTTTTTTATTGTGATGATTCTCCCACACCTACGCGGCGAAGTTTCAGGTGGCTTTGGTACAAAATGCGCTGAATTAGTGTGTAATGAATTAGCGTGTCTATAGATACTAGATGCCTGGCAATAAATTGACACGCTAAAAGAGGTTGTGGAAAACGAAGGTATGTGCAGCTGAAGGATCGTACTTAACTCCAAGTTCGAACGCTTCGTCGCGCAGGTGTAAGATAAGCAGGAGATGTGTGTATTTTTATAAGGTTTCGATATAAGTATAATTTGTATATTACTAGTTGAAACAGATTTTCCAAGAGGTTCCGGGTTCAAGTTCTGGTGGGTGCAGATGTTTGTGTGATGAATACGAGCATTTGTACTCCAGTCATGGATGTTTAATATCTATATAAATATACTTATCTAAACATCAGAATTTGTAATATATCCGTAACCTATATACCATAACACAAGCCTACAGAGCTTACTTTGGGACCCAGGCTAATTGATGTGAATGTTAGAAATATCATTATTATTATAGATCACCTAATAGCCGGCTATCATCATCACCATCATCATCTAATTTTTCGATTACGGGCTGGCTAGAAACTATTTACTTATATAATAAGTCCATGAAATACGATGTCCACATGAAACTGGGTTATACGGCATTGCATTAAGTTTTTTAGCAAACCCAAAATGAATAAATGAATTAACTTGTAAATGTTCATACACATCATATCACTAGTTCTCTATAACTTTAAGTCTCGTGTTTGATTTCGTCCGCCCTTCTGTCATAAAGATTATTATTGAAGGTAATAAAGCCAACGGTCATGAGATAATTTCCTTGGTTATAGTCTATGGGCGTAACTTTTGTTCTGAGTGTTTAGTTATAGCGAGTAAAGATCATAGAGGTATAAGAATAGTATGGGGAAGGCGACTCTAAAAGTGTCCGTCTAGTAGAAAGAGAAAGAAGATGAGAGACCACCAGCTATTTCTCTCTCTTGTGACGCATGGCATCCAACAACATCACATCGAAATAGTAAGATGCTTACGGTTGCCAATGTGCATGCGCGATTAGAGGGAGAAAGCTAGCGGTCTCTCATCTTCTTTCACTTTCTATTAGAGGAACACTTCCACTTGTAGTATAGTCTATATCTCCCCTACTCTATTCTTATACCTCTATGGTAAAGATTTCTTGGACAAGTAATGCCGTATACTCTTTTGTAATCGAAAAATAAAATTTTAAGCATTTATATCAGTCGCATTCTCCTTTGTAATAACAGAAGAGTAAAATTTCATTCACTTGTATCACAATGCACGTACCTACAGTAGACGCGCGTTCGTTCATATTATGTTATATCAATACGTAAAGGAAAAACTTTGTACCGCTTTTCAAGCACGTTTTGGACAGGGAGGAGTGTGAGAGTTTTGCATGATCAATTCATATGAAAAGGAATGTAGAATTATATTTTTTTTTGTAAAATAATACATTAGAAAAACATTTTAGTTAATAAAAGCAACATAACACGTAATAACAAGAGTTAGGTACACATAAACACGCAATGATTTAGAAATACATATAGTCGCTTTCATGGAAGAGCCTCAATTACGTTCAAACTTAAAAGAAACTGTAATTTCACTTAATAAGAGAGAGGCCTTTAGTGTTTTTAATTAATTAAGCTCTACTAATTAGACTTTAATATTTTTTGAGTTAGATCTAATCCAGCTTTTACAGATCTTAACTGGGATTAATTTATTTTTCTAGTGAACAAATAAATTATCTTAATTAAAAGCAAATGACAACACCATAATCTTTATTAAAATGTTGCTTCTGTACAATAAACTCATTTTTCCTTTCGATTAATATTTTATTTTAGATTTTCGATCAGAAAATGTATGAGATATAATACGACTAATAAGTTATTAGGTAACCATTAACTTTATTGAACATGTTGCTTCAGTACTACAAACCTATTGTTTGTTTAAGTTCCTTTTGGTCGTTGTATTTTCGATTAGATTTCTTAATTAAAAAAATATGTGATATAAGAGCTAGAAAGCGACTCATGATAAACGCTTATTAACTTTCGTTGTGGCATTTGCACAAGACAGCAATGCAAAACGTAATTTCAAGCTCACATCTCTCTGAATAGAACGCTAAGCTGATTTCCTTTGCTGGCGTTATGAGATAGCACTTCATTATTCAACGAAATGGACTAGAAAGGTCTAAAAATAACCTCATGCTGCATTTTAGGTTTTATTATCACTTTATTTGAGAAATTCTAGTGCATCACTTTACTTATTCCGAATATCGTAGAAACGGATCCAAGGACTTCGATACTTTTTAAATTCGTATTCTTAATACCATTTTTTTTAATGAGTGTCATTCTGTATTATTAAATCAGGTTAGGTTTTTTATTATATTCATTTAAATTTATTATTCTTTTCACCAGGGTGTTCCAGAAGATGCTTTACCAAGCTCCCAGTCCTCAAAGGAAGAAAGAGCCAGCTCCCAGAGAGAACAAATTAAGGTTATTCCTCAAAAGATCCTCAGAGCCACTTCTGAATCTACAAAATGCTGCACAGCAGGTAAGTTACTCCTTTATTGTAATAAATTCCTCAAGTGTGTTATATTATATGGGAATGCTATATGTAACCTCCTTCGCCAATATTTAAGATCAAATTGCCGTCTCTACTCAGCCCCTGCCGCATTGATAAACGTCTGCCAAACTTGACCCCGAATTCTTTAGCGGAATAGCTTACCCATCTACTTCTATAGTAGGTAGTTACCTACCCACTTCTATATTATGAAGGTATTCTATTCCGCTATAGGTTAAACGTGAAGCCATGCAATAAAGTAGTCTATGTTATAGTGCAATTCCTTAAATGATTTAGGATTTATACTTACTCTTTCTGTACGCTATGTTATGTGAAAAAAAGAAATGTTGCTATTTATTGTGTAATGATAAATTTATGCAGTATTCAGGGTTTTAGATTCCAGCCATTCGCTACGATAAAACGATTTCTCCTGTTTCATTAAGTCAAAAGTTCTCATAGCGTGAGTGCAGAATAACAAGTAAGTAGGTATTTTCTCAAAAAAGGGGAAGGAATAATTCCTGTTTCGTGTTTGGCACAGCAAAACGAGAGGCTCAAAATGGTTTAGATAGGTGAATTTCCACATGTATTGCATAGTAATACGTGCGTGAATTGGTAATTTCACTAGGAGGGAACATAAAAACTATTACAAATTGTTAACGTTGGTTTTGCTATGTCCAATACAGAGATCGACTTTCGCGCAGCAATTGGCTCCAATACAAGAGGTAAAAACAAAATTAACGCTGTTATTAGGGAACACTCATTTTATCGGTTTACAATACTCGGTGTTTCTATGTATATTTATTCACATTTTTGACACAATGTTTTTGTAGATAGGTTTTGAAATCGTCCACGTTGCTAAGTATATTTTTTTAATTGGATGTTACATTGGGTATTTATTGCATCGGATGTTTATGTTGCATGTCATAGGTATGATCAAGTCCTTATTTCTCGCTTTTAACACCCATCTTTGCATAATGTTATCTACAAAATATTTAAAGTCACACGCTGTGTTTGTGGTAAAGATTTGTTTTTCACTTTATTCAAAAGGGATTTGATCAAAATGATTGTTTTTAAATACTACAATAAACTCCAGGACAAATTAATCGGAGTTCTGTGTTCCGTGTTTAATACGGTAAGTATGCTTATATCGATATAAATGTTGTAACTTTACTTCTGCAATTTGACTTAAACGCTGTGCAATGATACAACACCTAACTTGCATGTGTTCGTCTATTTATAATATTATATTTATTTTAAGACATTGATTACATACGGTATCACTTTAAGGCTTTGTTCTAATATTTTCATCATAAACGATACATAAAAAAAAAACCGTATTTATAAGTAATCTGTAATGGTATGGTATCATGTTAACTATTAGCAGGCTGGAGTATTATATAGTTTTTTCTGGGACATAAATTTAATATGGCGAGACAGAATAATTTTAAGGTTAAGAAGAAGCTTTTGACTTTTGATTATTATGATAAACATAACTCAAAACGAATCCGAAACTTGACTAACGTATTTACACTATTTTTCAGATATTTTGACTGAAATCTTTTCTAATTCTTTATTTATTTATTCTTTATTCCATGCCATTTAAGTCGTCGTTATGCCAGTTGTAAATATCAATAACGTGCTTTTTAATTTATTTACGACATTTGGTTTGTTGTTAGCAATAAAATTCTTTTGAAGCACCAGCAATTTCCTCCGTTACCGTCAGCGGCAGATGTCATTTCCAGGCCAAATTGAATTCTATTACTGGATGTAGTGTTTTGGTCTACATTCAATTTACTGAGGTCAGCACTGAATAAAAGGATTGCTAATAGCTCTGGTATTCGGAATTAGTTTTTTGGTTTTATTGTTGGGATTATCTCAGCATTTTCGAAGGTTCACTTTTTGATTTTAGATATAAATCGTTCAATAATATTTTATTAAATCTATTGTTGCTTAAAAGATTGCATTCCACAGACTATATATAGGTGTTCAATATTTAATACTAATCAGTGTATTACACATGTTTATTTTAAGAAGTAATGAATCATTTCGAGTGTATAATAGAGTATTGCATAGCGTAGTATCATTGCAGTATATTTGTGAATAAACCAATTTGGATAGTAATATTATGAGTACAGCTGTCAATATCAAATCTTTGTTCAGCACTTTAGCTTCGTATAATTATGATAACTCAGCAACAACTTAATCAAAATTACGTATTTCAAGCTTTAAAAATAAAGATATAATTTTATGAAGTGGCTTCATGTAAGGTTTTTACTGTTCAACAGCCATCCTCACAGCAGCATCAAACATTGATCATAGAAGAATTCGAGCCTGACGTCTTCAGACAGCTGATAGAGTACATACACACTGGGTGTGTAACGTTGCAGCCGCGAACTTTACTCGGTGAGTTTTTACAGGGTTCCCTCTACCCGAAATTAATTTCATTTGGCATAGTCTTTTTTAAACGATTATATTTAAGCCATATTTATTGAAGTTATACTTCTTTAGGCGCGTTATGAAAAAATGATGAGAGTGAAATTTTAAGATGCGCGCGCATCACTGTAACACAAAATTTTAACAGCATGAAGTTGGTCGCTTTAGCGACCAACTTCATGCGTTACTTTTGTGTTTACCGCACATTAAGAAAATTTACCAACAAAATAGAAATAGAATCTCCATTTAGTGGGTGCTAACGACTGCATTGTGAAGGCCTACCAAAATTATTTATTAATCTGGAACGACGGAACCAAAGCGCGATTCAGGAGACTACAGCGCCATCTCTTGACCATTGGTGTAGTAGAACCAAAAACCACATCTTTATTTTTTGTAATAAAGTAACAGTTATAGGTATTCATATTTATAATATTTATGCACATGTTTCTAGTTTGTATATTCGGAATACGTGTTTGAGTTTCATACAAGTGCAAATCACATATGTTCTAATAAATTATATTCAGTAGCGATTTTAATTGAATATTTTGATTATTTATTTATTTTTTCAAATTAAAACTGAACTTTACTGACTGTGTCCTTTTCCAGACTTTTTATTAATTTATTGTAATTAATTATTTGCATGCAATTAAAAACTAATTTTAAACGATGCCAAAGAAGGATAACTTCTCACGCGCCTACATAAGTACACGCACCCATTTTTTGTTAATATAATTATTGTGTGAATGTCTATATGTCCAAATTCACAATGGTATACTGTTAAGGTGGTAGAATTTTAAAAGGCATAATTAATTAGGCGAAATGAAGTGGTTGCTATCCTCTTTGACTTGACCTTCCTTTGACGACCTCCGTGGCCGAGTGGATTGTACGCCGGGTTTCATGGTGTGGCCGACTCGAGAGGTCCCGGGTTCGAATCCCGGTGGGGGCAGATGTTTGTGTGATGAATACGAGCATTTGTACTCCAGTCATGGATGTTTAATATGTATTTCTATATAAATATACTTATATATGTACAGTACATGTATTCTATCCTTTACCCTAGCATCCCATAACACAAACTTTACAGTGCTTACTATGGGGCTAGGCTAATTGGTGTGAGTGTCGGAAATAATTATTTATTTATCCGCTGATATGATTAACAACATTATGACAATAAAAGTTCTGCGATACAAGGTAAACCCGTTTTTACTTTAGAGTGATACTCTTAAGCTGCCACACGTGTTCGCCAAGACTGTCACACCTTCAGAAAAAAATAGTTGTTGACTGATATTCGATGCACAGAATCAGCCAAACTCGTTATAGCGATTCAGCTTGCATTCTTAGGCGTACTTGTGAATAAGCTGATCCAGTAGTATTTCGCGTTCTTTGTCATTCACCAGCTATCAATCATCTCACTGGATGCTGAAACTAAAAGTGTATTATAGTTCTGGCAAACACGTTGTAGGAATAATTATAGTCACGTCACTAAGAAGTAACCTCTTCTTCTTCAATTTAGAGTTGGCTATGAGACTTCTTTTACGGTAATCATAATAACAAATATATATTATTGCATTATATTAAGCCTTAATAAAACTTATGTAACAATTTGTAGTGTTTGTGTCAGTACAAATCACGTCATGAGCTCATATGTACCTATTGTTATAGACACAAAAAAAGAATTTCACCCAACTATGCTTTTCCGGTAACTTAATTTCCTATTATAGCTTAGAAAATATTGTACTATTTTAACAAAAATACTTTTTTTTTAAACAATTTTATGACAGCTTGTAAGTCGCTTATTTTTTTTCAATCTGTACCCCTAGCACGAACCAATATCGAATTCCTATCGTTTGCGAGTCCGAAATGTCATTGTCAAATGTGTACGAATTTTTAGTTCTCGTTACGTACTTTGTGCCGCTGCTGTTCAAGTTTCCATACAAAATTTGACAATGACATTTCGGTTTGCAAACTATTCGATTCGATAATCGTGCTAGGGGTACTGATATCAATCATTTAATATTGCGTTTAAGATTTTTTTTATTTGTATTTGTAAAATATAAATGGATAAAATGCAGCACTTTCAGATATTCCTGTTGATATTTTAGAGGCGCTGCCTCTTCTTAAGTTTTCGTGGAAAAGGTATCGGGAAAATCACAACGTTATACAATCAAATTCAATAAAGCTGACATTTGACTTCTTTTTCCTTTCCTATCGATTCTTGGTAACTGGGAAATGTACTTGGGATATGCTGCGAATTCCCTTTTTTAACAATTGTGATGAATCCGAGCGTAACGAAAAAGAATTCATTTCTCTCGAGAAATATAATGTTGCAAAGGTCAACCTTAAAAGGTTAGAATTCGAGATGAATGCTAAAGTCCCTTCCGTCGGTTTTTATTTAGGGTACCATACTTAAAGGGTGACTATTATTAAGCCTCCGTTGTTCATCCGTTCATTCATTCATCCATTTGTACGCCGGTCGCGTCAAGATAAAGGAAATTGCGTACAGGGCACAAGAGATTTTCCGCTCGAAATGGAGCTTTCATCTGGGGAAGTACCCTGCACCTTAAAAAATACCACAACTAAATAAAACTGCCCCTTGGTGGTGTTGTGTTCCTGACTGTGATAAAGACTTCACGGGTAGTGGTCGTAGCAGAAATATAAAAGTGACAATTTAAAAAAATGTGTGCACCAACGACACACCTGAAGCGAAACTATTTTCTTAATTAACCCAACATAAGGCGTTGCATAAAGCATAGGTGAATGGAGTAGCGCACGCATCACTCATATATATCTATGTACATATTATTGTCACGTGTGACGCTTATGGCGCTCGTAGCGTTTCAGCCTTCACCTAGTTACCCTCCAACTTTCAAGCTCGTTGAGAAGAGCTTCGCACACATCCCACACCCACACAGACACATATGAAACGGAAATGCGGTTTCGTTTCATATTTTCCATATGATTTTACTATTTACACCACATCCAAAAAGTAGTTTCACTACAGAAGTAAATTTTTGTTGCCTTTCTTAAAACCCATTAAATTCAAAATCATTCATTCATTCAGGTCATTGCAAAAGTTGCTAAACTTTCACGATCGCAACCCAACGCGCTAACCATTTGCGCCATTGAGCTCCTCTTGATGTGCTCATGTTGTTAAACAAATAACTTCAGTAGAGTCCATATCGTAAAAAAACAAAGTAAACCAATAAAACTCAATCTACGACCTTTTGCTTTCAATATCCGGAAGTCATTTCGGTTTATTTTTGTTTGCGAATATCGGTTCAGCGAATATTGTTCCATAAAAAGCTCAGTTACCTACATCCCTAAAACAAAGCTGGGGTTGATGGAAACGGGTTCAATTAGCCTTTCGAAGCAAAATGCTACTTTTATGTTCGTTTCTAATGTGTATACGTATAGTATTTTATTCTATTTATCATACGTCGTTTAATGCTGTATTCGATACTTTTCGAACTTTAATTTTACCACAACTACGGCGAAACTATATGGAAGTACATTTCGTATATTCCACCCTGTAGGGATTATAAACCGGAACGATTTTATCGACGTTATTATAGATCTCAGAATAGCTTTCAAAATTAAATATAGACAATATGAGAGAAGTAGTATATTCTTTAGTCAGTTCAGCGATCGTAGTCAGTTTTAAGATAATAAAAATGTCCTCATTCATTTTATTTCAGTGAATCATTAATGTCAAAAAATCAAAATGTTAAGAAATTTTCTAAGTAAATGTTTTTTTCTTCTTTCAATGCAAAGTTAAAAAGACATTGATGGTTATTCGAATGAATCATTCATCAATGAATGATAGGAAGAAATGTTCTAAGCAAAAGTTGTGTGTTTTCGAAGTCTGAAAAAAAAACATTCATCATAAACTTCAAACGATTAAAAGGAAACGGTTTCTTTTTCTTCTTTCAAAGCAAAGTTTAAAAGACATTGATGATTAGAACTTATAATGGTCGAGCCTGAGGCTTCCGTGAAGAGAAAAGTTTCTTAATTACATTTCGTCATGTTTCATTGAGAGTTGCGTTACACTTTGGGTCGTAATAAGATTGTCAATACCTTCGATGACCTTTCTCAAATAAATAAACCTTCCTTTGACACACGTTTCGCCAATTGAAAGTTCAGCTTCAAAAAAGTTTAGTGCGAAAATACAACAGTCTCATTCAGTCTTATTTTATTGATCAATCTATGGCAGTAATCGGAGTATTAATTGCGAATTCAAACAACAAATAACAAATTGTTCTTAAAATATTATGGAATGGGTTAGAATTGATAGACTCTCTAATGTAGAAATGTGATAGCTAGTGTATTTTAACATGACAGAATTGCATTCGAAAATTGTGACGTTTAGATAATAATAATATGCTAAGCGTAGTGAGATTCATCGTCCTAGAATTAAGCTGACAGCCCGAAATAGAATAAAAGCTTTTCTTCATAGTATTTAATGAATAATATGTACTTAAGTATACTTCAGCTTGCGAAGCTTAACAAGTGAAAGATATAAAAAATGGGCAGATTTAAAGACATCTTGCTCTTACAATCTCAAAGTCCTTTCCAGACCGAAACCGCTGCCGAAGGTTATTCACAAAACATCCTGTTATTTCCATAAGCCGACTTTTAAGAGAGGTAGGGCATAGTGGATTTTCAAATTGGAGAACCCGTCTAGGTAACCTCCAACTTAAAGAAGATAAACACAGTAAAATAACATTGTTGTTGTGAAGCGGTGGACTGTAACTAAGTTAAATTGGAATAATGAAGGAAAACGACACGTAGCAGTAAATAAAATATAATCCGTATTTACATTATATATGTTCGTAAGCACTAGCGACAAGACAATAATAAAAATGTATCAACGAAGAATAATAATGGTGTCAAAAAGTGACATAGACAAGTAAAGGAAGTACAAAATATAAACGCATTGTAAAAGGAGGTTTGTAGCCGCAGCCAGTCGCCAA